AGGGTGATGCTCCCGACAGCATCGTGGTGGTCCCCGAGCTGGCGCGGTGCAGCCGGTTTCAGCCTCTCAAGTGTTTTGAGCGACTGCCTGTCCGCGCCACCCTAAATCCTCGGGATGCCCCATGGGTGCTGCGGACCTCGACTCGCAGCTGGGACCGAGCCGGCTGCTCCATTCATTTAAGGAAAAGCGCACGCCACGCTGCTCCAAATTGAGTCGTAAATGCTCTGCCAAGCGAGGAGAAGCCGAATTAATGCCGCAGAGCCGCCCCAGCGCCGTGATTTCTGTCTGATAAGAAACCCCAGTGCACTGGGATTAGCCCAAAGCGCGACGCTGCTGCAGTCCCTCCTCCGTGAGGATTTAGCGGCAGCATCCCGGCCCTGGGGGGGAGCGTCCCACTCCACGCTCCTGTATTGATTTTGCACGGTGGGAGCAAGATTTAATGATGCTGCGCCTTCTGCTTGGCGCAGGAAGGAGCAAAGGGCTTCAGAGGGATCAAAAATTAATTTCAGGCATATCCCCACCAAACCTCTGAGAAGGGCCAGAGATTTTCACAGGGCTTTGATCCCATTTGATAACGTTTTGGTTGTGGCAGAGCCCTGACGCCCTCATCTCTCCTGCATCTCTCCCGCGTCTCTCCGCAGGTCCCTTTCTTCGGGAAGCGCCAGCACCACACCTGCCCGTGTTTGCCCAACTTCATATGCTCCAGGTTCCTCGACGGCCGCTACCGCTGCTCCGTCGACTTCAAGAACATTGATTTTTAGGGTGATGCTCCCGGCTTTCCATCCGTGAGCTGCCAGCACCCATTTCTTGCCCTCTCCCGTGGCCACCGGGTGCCCACGTAGCGCCAGGCAACCTTAAAAGTGCTTTTCCAAGGTAGACAGTGTTGTTGTAAGCTATATGTTATATGGGGAAACTGAGGCACGGTCAGGCCAAGCTGTTCCAACATGTGGCTTAGCAAAGCTCTGCCCCAGCCCGGAGCAGGACCTGGCTCCGGCACCCTCTGCAGAAGAGTGGATCGAGGGACAGTGTGTGTGGCAAATGTCTGTGGCCTCAAAAAAATCCCTTTCACAAGATGTTGTCTGCATGTAATGGATGCTGTCGGCCAGCTTTCACCTCCCTCCTTTGTTTTATACAGTAAAAATCAAGGGTGATGCAATTTGGGAAGAGTGAAAGTAGACGCCGAGCACCCAGCAGCCAAGAGCTTCCTCCCGTGGTTTTTATCCTGGCGCACGATAAAACTTGGGACGTGAAGCTGAGCAGCATCATTTCATCTGCCAAAGCGTCTGCAGGGCTGAGCCCAGCGGCGAAGGTGGTGGCGGAGACCTGACTTCAGTTATTTTTACACTTTTCAGTCGTGCCCTAGGAAAAACAAAAATCAGAGGGGCAGAAACTTCCTTCCGCGGGGAGCTTTAGCAGTTTCCCTGCAATTCCTACTGGATAAACCATTTCTGTAATGATAATTCCCATCGTGATATTGCCCCGTCGTGTCTTATCAGCCTATTTTTTTGTTTTCAAGCTGGTGACGGATGATCTAATCTAGCCTGCAATTAAAAGAAATCGATATCAAGTAGCTGTGGGGAATTCAGGAATGGGTTTCCCCAAAGTTCAAGCAGCGCAATGTGTTTGGCAGAGGCTGAAGCAGGGCTGGCTGGAGCCGTGTCGTGCCAGATGTGGGTCTTTGGGATGTAGGAAAATGTTTTCCAGCCTCAGCATCTGCCTTAGGTTCAGGCAGCGTGTGAGGTTTGGGAGCCTCTCTTTATGTCAGCCGAATTTGAGAGGGGAACGGGATGTTAAAGTTAATTAAATGTGCTAAAAGTTACCTCAGACGCGTGCTTCCAGTTCCCCTCTTAAAACCATATCGTGGAAAAATCGTGTATCACTTGAGCTTCCCTCCGGCTTCCTACAGCAACCCCTGGCAATAATAAATAAAAAAAAAAATAAAGAAATAAAAAAGAATAATCAGCATTTACAGCAAAAAGAAAACCCCAACCCCAGCTGGTTTCCTTTCAAGCAGAAGCAGTGCCTAAAGGCAAAGCTTATTTTGGGGGTTTGAACGCGTGCGCTCAGAGCTGCTCCTGGAAAACCCTTGGGGTTCGGTGCCGGGAGCAGCGGCACCCCCCTGTGCTCTGGGCCCTCCCTCGTTGGTGGGTTCTGGTGGGTTTTGGTGCTTCAGCAGCAAACGTTTCTATTTCCGAAGACCCCAAAGGACACCCGGTGCATGGCTGTGGCAGATGTTACGTTATCACGGGGAGTAGAGGAATTCGGATCTGGCGTCGGCTGCTGGGTGAAAGCTTCCCTGCGCTTCTTTCTCCCTCCAAAAATTATTGTGAGTTCGGTGAAAATAAAACGTTGCGATGACCGGGTTGATTTTATTTAGTGGGGGTTTTTTTTTACACATCAGAAGTTTTGCTTTTTATTTCCAAAAGAATAGTCCTGCGATGGGGATGCTGCGTCTGCAGGTGAGTTTATGATACCCATTGCTCGGCACTGGGGACCACGGCAGGAGGGCTCGGGGGACACCATGGGTTGCCAAATAGGAAGGGGTCCCATAGCAATTCGGGGGGGGGAAGTCAGGAAAAAAGCACAATGTTTCGTAACATTCATAAAAAAACACATAGTTTCATGGTTTGGGTTTCTTTTATTAAGCTGCCTTGCTTTATTAGCTGCCTCCGGCCTTCCCACAAGCAGAAAGGACTGGGATTTTTTTTCCCCCCCCCGTTAATTTTTAGACATCTCCCAGTGGAAAATATTGCAAATATTTTCTCCCCGGCAGAAAAAACAACAACAAAAAAA